TTCAATCTTCTACATGGTCATGCTGAAGAACTCCATTTCAGTGCATGAGGACATATAAGGATGCGATTCAAACGTGGTGTTCATGTTTCGTCTTGTTCTATGTCACAAATGCTTCCATTTCCTTATCTGGGATGGCCGTTTAGGCTCTGAGGAGCATATGCTCCCTGATGAACAGTAAATTCAAAATAAATAGTAAATGAATCTTACAAATTCTGATTTTTTTTGTAGATGTTCATGTTGGTGTAACAAGCACGCTTGACAATTTTTATGCGAAACGGGATAACAGTGCTACGTCGATGAAAAAAACAAAATTAAGTGTACATTTGGAGATTACACTTGGGGTTTGATTTGTTATTTTCACACGGGTCAAAATGCTTAAGCTTCCCCCCTAAAAATTTGCAGGTAGCATTTGGGTGTGACAATGAACACATCCATTTTTTCCAAAAAAAAATTGACATTTGTAAAATACATTTTTGGCAAGCAGGAGCACATGCTCCCTAGAGCCAAACTGAATTTCCTTATGTAGTGTACTCTTAATGCAAAGTAGGTGTTCACCTTTAAGGATGACAATTTTACCCATGGGTACGGATACCCGCGGGCACCATATCCGCATGGGTAGGGTATGGGCACACTTTTATACCCATGGGTAGTACCCATACCCTACCCGTTAAGTCATGGGTAGGGTACAGGTATAGCCTTGTACCCGCGGGTATACCCATACCCTGCCTGCTTGTAAAAATAATGTTAAGTTGTTGTCAATTAATCATTAATTTGTCATGTGACTCGTCTACTCCTATTGACTTATGAGTATGTTGTGATTTCTAAATTTTGATAGTAGTCTTGTACCCATCTACTTGTTATTGAGCTAAGATATTTGATTTTTTTGTCAAATTTCCTATGAATGAGTGTAAAATTATGAACTTGTGTACTATTTGTTCTATTCGTTGGGTACCCAATGGGTATGGGTACCCGTCGGGTATAGGTAAAGTTTTATACCAGTGGGTACGGGTATGGGTAAAATTTTGTACCCACTGACTAGACGGGTATGGGTATGGTATTGCTCTACCCTGCCCATTCCCTACCCATTGCCATCCTTATTCACCTTTCGTCCTTTTATGTGTGGCAAAATGGTTCCATATATGTAGTGTACTCTTGATAAAAAGTAGTATCTTCGTAGGCGATGGCGGTTCTATTTGGGTTGACGCGATCATCGGAGTGGTGTGCAGGCAAGACCATAGATAATTTGACTTGTCAACGATAGAAGTAATAAACGTGTTAAAAATAATTCAATAGAAAAAGGTTAAATTTACACGAACAAAAAACTGATTTTATCACGAACAAACCTGTCAGAACTAAAGTAACACATGCCAGAGCGAGCAGGGAGAGAGACGAACGTTGGGATTTCGGAACCCAAGTAACTACAAGTCTACAACCTTGCTCCAGTAACAGGTCAAAGGAGCAAGATTAAAATTGGCAACTACGCCATTCGGAAAAAATCTGGCAACCGCGCACCACATATCCAGAATAAGTAGTTAAGGCAGGCACTCAAGTTACCGGAGCAAGGTGGGATAAAGAACACAGTCAATGTAAAAATGATGTCTCAGTGATGCAGCCAAGGTAATCGTGTTCTCAAACTAATGTTAAACCTCAACGAAAATGAAGAACAAACTGCAACAAGATCATAACTCTGTCACAAGAGCAGGGACGGTGTCTGCTCATTTCTTTGTAGCAACCTGGCCGATAAATTTGGTAAGAACATAGCAATCTGGCGGAGTGATGTTCGTATAGTAATTATGTATCGTCTCTGTTATTTCGAAACCAAACTTCTTGTAGAAAGCAATGGCATCGTCGTTGTTTGTCTGAACGTGTAAGTATATCTCCGAGATGTTCTGCTTCGCACAGAGATCAAAAACATGGTTCAGCAGCTTTGTTCCTGTCAAAATAAAAAAGAATCAATTGTAAGGCAGCACAGATCATATTACTGCTACTCTTAAAAGCAGCTCGCGTTGTTGCCAAAAACAAACTATTCTTTTCTGTTCGTAAAAGATAGTTTCAAAAGAGCAAAAGTATGCAAGGTATATTTCAAGCCCAAGAAGTTTACAACAAGTTGATATTTTATATTCATTCAGCTAGCATTCATTGTTTTGAGACAGTGTTACAGTAGCAGTACCAAACAAAACCTGCCGCAGTGTCCCCTCATAATTTCTTTTTATCAAACATCATGTTCCTAATAGTCCTAAGATGATCATATGAACATTTCCCTGAGAACAAACTCAAAATTCTTGACAGCATGTGTTGTGAAATGAGGCCAGACCGCTAGAGTATATTTTAAATTGAATTCTGTAAACTCCCGAAATTCTCATTTACCATCAATGGAATCGTATTAACAGGATACTATATTAGCAGCCAATAGTGCAGTGTGGGAAATGGTGTAGCCTAACATTTTGAGGACTCTTCCCGCCAAAAAAAAAAACATTTAGAGGACTCTGAAACCTTAAACAAACAACAAGTTATGAATAACTGCTGGGTTAACCACATGTGCTACCCGGTCACTGGGAGCAGAACGGACAACTTACTATCATCTGATAGTAGCACAAATGGGGGCAGGAGTCTAAAAGAAGCATGACAGGGCAGCGATTGCTCAAAGAAAGTATGATGAGGCAGCCCATGATGTTTTATTACACGATGATCTTTAACATTATTCTTACTAGACTTAGAAGTCACAGGTATTTCACTTGGTTACAAAAGAGCAATCTAGCGTACAGATGTGTTAGCATGGGCTAAAGTAAGAATGAGTGGCAAGGCTCATTATTTTTCACTGGTTTTTCCTGTGCTGATACAGGTATTCTTTTAGAACTTGCAGTAGATAAACAGCTAAGGTAATTATATATAAGCAAGCTTTAGAATAATACTGGTACATGCTTAAATCATTTCCAAGAGTTTTTTTTAAAACAGTAAGTTTATCACTTGGACATCATGAAAGGACATACACCATGTCCTAGAGGACATAACATGGTAAGAGCATTATTGCACTTTAATTTCATGAGCACATATGGCACAACTGCTACCCACAATCCTTGACACCACCTTAGTTTAAATGCGTAATGCATTTTGTGGCAACCCACCCCCTTCATAACTTTATAACGCTTACGGCATATGGCAAGGCGACTTCATAGACACACCCTAACCTGGTCTGACAGCAAGTTAAATCACCCAATACAACCAATTTAGTAGCACAGTGCTCCCTTAATTTCCCATGGGAATAAGATTAACCTGATGCACACTCAAATGCCGAAATACAACAAAACATGGTATGTAAGCAACAACACTTTTCAGAAACCTGGTACCATCAGTTGATTCTTGAAGGAGCAGATTCAAGGTTGACTTTGGTTTATTAACCCATAGAACAAAAGCTGACCTAGGGCCAGCCATTATCTCTGTTCTAAACTCTCTTAACTAGCTTGCACTACTCCCTGTCTTCTGATTTGGCTGCCAACTGGCAGGGCCTGCACTTATTGCCTTTTGATTGTAACCTTCCTAGATGGTGCAGGCTGTCATAGGTTGTCCAAGCATTTTATCATGTAACCTTGTAACGGTAGGGAGAGGAAAAGCTGGAGAGGACTCGTGGGAGGGAGAGGAGAAGCTGGCAGAGACTCAAACAGAAGCATAGCTGCTGCTGGCACATACAGCAGAACAGAGCAGCGAGCAGGAGCTGAAGAAGAGGGAGGGTAGGGAGAGGAAAAGCTGGGGAAGACTCGTGGGAGGGAGAGGAGAAGCTGGCAGAGACCCAAAAAGAAGAAGCATAGCTGCTGCTGGCAATGCCGCACCAACGCAGACCTGGAAGCAGCAAAGCTCTGCAATACGGGGATGGCACATGGAGGCGGCGCTCCAAGCCAGAACCAGATTTTTTTTTTCTGCTCCACTCTCACCTTGTTCTGTCCCTCTCTCCTCGCCCGCTTTTCCTTCCCACCCCGTTCTACATAGTTCAAGGAAGAAGGGCCAAGATTTTCTGCCCCACTGCTTTTCCTTTCCACGCCCCTGCTTTCCCCCTCCCACTCCTGCTTCTCCTTCCCGTGTGTGCCTGCTCAGAAAGCATATGGTATCGAAAATCGGCTTAAGGAGCCGCCCGCCTTGTCAATTGGACGCCATGGCCCTATGGTGGACGCACAGGCAACTTCTATTGTGAGGGTCAATGTGCTTGGTCTGGAGAGTTGCCACAGTTGTATTATTGACGTTATGGCAGTGGCACATCAACAGAAAACTTTGGGCACATTTTGATTCAATTGAGATGGTGGCAGAAGCATGATCAATCATCGTTCATTGCTTGAGTGAAAAATACTCCCTCCGTCCGCGAATAAGTGTACATCTACCTTTTGTCCTATGTCAAAGTTTTCAAATTTTGACCAACTTTATAGAAAAGAGTAGTATATGACATCAAATTGGTATATTATGAAAGTACATTTCAAAACGGATCTAGTGATACTAATTTAGTGCCATAAATGCTGCTGCTTTTCCCTATAAAGTTGGTCAAAAATTTAAAACTCTGACTTAGGACAAAAGCTAGAAGTACACTTATTCATGGACGGAGGGAGTAGGTTGCAAGATAAATGCAGTACCTACAACTATCCAACAATTACATTTTAATTCACAATTTCAGCAATCAGATAAGGAGGTGCACATGTTATCCTACTTGTGAGGCATATGTAGATCTCACGCCCAACAGGGTGATCTCTTCACATAGCCAAAAATGAATTTAGGTAGGGAAAATTCTCACCAAGACCAAGACCACGGTAGGGCGCCAATACACCCAGAGTCATGATATAAACACGGACGACCCCTCCTTCCTTCTTCTCCAGGCGACAAGCGATTGCTCCAACACATATATCACTATAGTAAGCTACAAACACAGAAAGGAAAAATGAACAGTCAGACAATAGCACCAGCAGCAACATGTTTTCTCATAGATGAAATCAGCCAAACCCAGCAGACGAATCAATATAACAGTGTATCCGGGAAACATCCCCAGCACAATAACCTACCCACGCCCTCCAAGATCTTCTATGGTCAAAGAAATTATTTTTGCAGATCAAATCCACATTCGCATTTGCACGTCCCCATTCCAAAATCTAAATTCCTAATGGCGGTTTCTTCCCCAATCTGGTAGCAAGTTGTAAATTGTTTTCTGCCTTCTGTCTGCAGATCCGAGAACTGAGATAGATACAACCCCAATCCCAATCCCAATCCCAATACAATGGAAGACCGGGTGAGGTATGGAACCGGTCCCGGCGGCGCGAGGTAAGGATTAGAACAAGATTGGAAAAGACTGATGGGAGCGCGCTCACCGAGCTTGGAGAAGTCCTTGGAGGCGATGGCGTCCTGGTAGTATTTGTCGTTGTAGCGGACGGGGAAGAGCGCCATGTTGAGCTTCTTGAGCTGCATCACGTTCTTGTCCCGCAGGCCGTCCAGGGACGTCCGGGCGACGCCGCTGCTCTTCTCCTTGCTCCCAGCTGCCTCTCCTTCCCCAGCGCCCATCCTCCAAGCCCTATTGCCCTCGCCCTCGCTCTCTTCGTCGCCTCTCTCGAGACTCGAAAGTTTGCGTGCGATGCGACCACGGCGGCGGGTGCGACTCGCGACCAAAACCCTTCCGCTCTTTAGCTGTTTTCGCTACTTCTTCCCGTTCTCGCTGACCCGTCGGGCCTACGGCGTTCTCACCGACCGCGGGTGGGTGGTGGGCTAGAACTAGAAGCCAGGCCTTTCGCTTGCGTGCTCTTGCAAGTTGGTATATCCGACGCTGACTCGCAAACTGAACACATTGGGCGTGTTTGGTTCCCGTCAGCTACAGTACCTGCATTCCATACACTTCTTCATTCAGTCTGGCTTTCGAAAAACAGCCTCATATGCGACATCTGCAACTTGTTTGGTTGCCTGCATATGGATTGTCTGCATCAGTGGATCAACTTTGACATGTTGTTTGGTTGTCTACATTGTCTCGGCGCATACAACTACACGCTGTTTGGTTGCTTGCATGGGGTATGATTAAGAGCTAGCACTTGCACTTAGCACACAGGGTTAAGAGCTAGCAGAGGAAGGGGGAGAAGAAATGCAGGTGCGCCCGACCATGACGACTGCGGTGGATAGTGGACGTGGTGTCGTGTCCGACATGACGAGCATGGAGTCGTGGACGAGCGACCCCATCGGCGGCACGGCGAGCGACACCGTCGGCGAACTAGTTGCGGTGCTCGCGCAAAGACAGTCGACAAAGGAGGAGAATGCAGTGCCCGCGCCATGGTATCGTCAGTGCAGTGGACGAGAGAGGAGGTCGGGATGATCGACACCGGAAATGACTCGAGTGTAGTAGGGCGAGAGAGAGGAGGCCAAGATGATCGACCCCTTCGGCGGCGCGGCGAACTGCAGTGTGCACGGATGCAGAGGACACAAGAAGCAGTGTGCGCGCCATTGCAGCGTTAGTGCAGTAGGAGGACGACAGAGAGTAGGCCAAGATGAGCGACGCCGGAAACGACTCTAGTGTAGTAGGACGTGGGCAAGAAGATCAAGGGGAAGGGCTTCGGCGTCGAGAGGGACGAATAGGAGGGCTCTGAGCAGAGGTTAGAGGAGCTCGACATGGCGGCATTAGTGCAGTAGACTGCTGCTCAAAAAGAGATGAAGCTACGATAGTCGAAACCAAAAACTTACAACACGAATGTTGTGAGGAACCGCAAGATTAGGCAGCTGGTCAAAGGAAATTTCAAATGATCGATCGTGCGCGACGAATCTGACAAAATTCGTCCAGAATAACTCCAAATGGGAAGACGAGATTAAGAACTTATGGCCGACGAAACTACGAACCGATCGCCTGAATGGAACCATAGCATCAGGTGTATCTTTTTCGTGTAGAGCTTACCCCAAATCGAAGCACCGTTGTGTAGATCAGAGGAAGGAGATTAGATAGGAGCTTACTGAAGGTTGAAGAAGAACTCAGGTAATCACCTCGCATCCCTTCCGTCTCCACTCGTGCAAGGGCTCGCTGGCTTGCGCTCGCCTCGGCCTGGCTCGCAAGAAACTGCCGATTCCTGCGTTTCCAGCGAGCCAGCCTCTGGACTGCTTTAAAAAGCGTGGGATGCAGCCCCAATAGTGAAACCAGGCAACCAAACAGGCCTCTTGCTTCCCGCGCGGGCCTGGTTGGGCTCGATGCGGGCAACCAAACACACCAATTAGTCATCCGTGAATTGGATATCAAGTTCACAGACACAATAAAAAGGAAGATTATCCAAAACTAACCGCATATATTTCAAGCCAGGTATCAACAAATCGGATAAATTACACGTAAATCGGACGATCTTCATACAAAACGGAGCACATTCATTACATTTCGAACAGTTTTCATTAAAAGGGGGACAGATCCAAACCTAGCCTACATCAGTGCCCGTCATCCAAGTCCTTAGTGTTCCCTTCCGATGACCGCGTCCTCCATCTGCCGTCTCCATGAGCGGCGGGGATAAGACCCGCGAAGTGGTGCGGTCCTCGGCAAGAAAGAGTAGAACATGGGAGACGGACCGACCCACTTGGGACTCGAGCCCCCGCCATCTTCCATGCCTTACTCATCCTTGTCGAAAGTGGAGGGTCTGCCATGTTCGTCATCCCACCGGCACGGCCAAACAGCGTTTGGTGGCGCGTAGGGCGTGCGACTGGCGATGTTCTTGTTTGCGATTGCCTGCGCAGACAGCGCCGCCTCCGCGTCCGATTGTGCCGCATGTATGTTGCGAGCGGCGGCTTGAGTGCGGGCAGTCTCGTACAGTGCCTGCTGCTCGGCAATGAAGTTGGGATTCACTATGGCCATGGCTGGCACAGCTTCCTCGCTCGCGTGCTCGCCGTAGATTTGACCCTCCGCCAGCTGGTCCTGCTCGAGGAGAAACATGTTGTAGCGTCATTCCTCCTGCACCTGCCAGAACAACGACATAGGCGCAGGTGCCAGGTGCTCCTCGACCTTGGCAACGTTGAAGTGCGCTTGTCTCTGCTCCATCATTGAGCCGGCATGCACCAATGCGGACTCCAGCGCGGAGTCGTCGTCGGAGCCAGCCCCATTATGGGCTCGTCGTCGGAGACCTCCGAAGAGTTGGCCGATATGTCGGCCTCTATCGCTTGGCACGAGGCTCTGCCAAACGGTCACAAGGGTGGCCACCTCATGCTTTTGCTCCGTCGAGAAGCTCTCCCATAGAGCATTCCCGCTCACGGTCATGGTGGATGTGGTGCACGGGAAGAAAGATGCGGTACGGATGGGTTGTGGTGTGTTGTGAGGTGACAACCCACAAGTATAGGGGATCGTTTGTAGCCTTCTCCGATAAATAAGAGTGTTGAACCCAAAGAGGAGCTAAAGGTAGAACAAATATTCCCTCAAGTTCTATCGACCACCGATACAACTCTACGCACACTTGACGTTTGATTTACCTAAAACAAGTATGAAACTATTTTGCAAGAATAAAACTATGAGTACTTTGCGAGAATAAAACTAAGAATAAAATGCAAGGTAGTAAAAGTGGATAGCTTTTTGTTAACAAGAAAGTCTTTTGTCCCTAAACAATCGATAACAAGTACCGGTGATCATTCTTGTAATTCTATATGAGGGAGAGGCATGAGCTAACATACTTTCTCTACTTGGATCATATGCACTTATGATTTGAACTCTAGCAAGCATCGGCAACTACTAAAGATCATTAATGTCGTGAAACCCAACCATAGCATTAGGTATCAAGTCATCTTTACTCCCATACGCCATAACCCACTTATCTGTGTTTAGACTGATGTCACCCCCGCACTAACAATAAGCAAACCATGAACATATTGCAACACCCTACGACGGGGCCCCCTCACGTTTGCGCGAGAATGGAGGGCACCGTAGGACAGCACCATAAATAAAATATACAATCATACCAACCAAGATCACGAATAACCCATAAGACAAAACAGATCTACTCAAACATCATAGGATAACCATAGATCATTGGGAAATAATATATGAAGTTGAGCACCATGTTTAAGTAGAGATTACAGCGGGGAGAAGGGGTGTTACACCGCTCCATAGAAGGGGGAGAGTTGGTGTTGACGGTAGCAAGATTGTTGATGTAGATCGTCGTCACGATCCTAGCCCCGGCGGTGTTCCAGCGCCACCGGGAGAGAGGGGGAGAGAGCCCCCTCCTTCTTCTTCTTCCTTGCCCCCCCCCTAGATGGGACGAGAGTTCCCCCTCTGGTCCATGGGCTCCATGGCGGCGGAGGGGCGGGAGCCCCTCCGAGATTGGATCTTCCTCTCTGTTCTCTCATGTTTCGCGTTCCCCATATCTGGCCCTTCACGGTTTCTTAAATTCCCGGAGATTCGTAACTCCGATTGCGCTGAAATTTTTACATGATTTTTTTTCATAAATTATCTTTCTTGCTCCAGAAGAGGGGCTCCAACAGACGTTCAAGGAGGGCAGAAGACACCAGGGCGCGCCTGGGGCCTATGGCGCGCCCTGGTGGGTTGTGGGCTCTGTGGGCCCCCGTTTGTGTTGATTCCACCTCCTAAAAACATATATTCCAAAATAATTCTCCGTAAATTTTTATCGCGTTTGGACTTCGTTTGATATGGATTTTCTGTGATACAAAAAATATGCAAAAAACAGGAACTAGCACTGGGCATTGGATCAATAGGTTAGTCCAATAAATCATATAAAAAGTTGCCAAAAGTATGTGAAACTTGTATAACATTGGCATGAAACAATCAAAAATTATAGATACGACAGAGACATATCAGCATCCCCAAGCTTAATTCATGCTCGTCCTCGAGTAGGTAAATGATAAAAAAATAATTTTTGATGTGGAATGCTACCTAACATAAACTTGATCATATATCTAATCATGGCATGAATATTAAGACATAAGTGATTCAAAGCAATAGTCTATAATTTGACATAAAGACATCAATACTTAGGCATCCCAACAAACAATCATGTCTTTCAAAATATCAACGCTAAAGAAAGTTATCCCTACAAAATCATATAGTTTTGTCATGCTCTGTCTTCTTAACACAAAGTATTTATCATGCACAACCCTGATGACAAGCCGAGCAATTGGTTCATACTTTTTAACACACTTCAGCTTTTTCAACCCTCACACAATACATGAGCGCAAGCCGTGGATATAGCACTACGGGTAGAATAGAGTATGATGATGGGGATAAATATAGAGAAGACAAAAAGTAAGAAAGTCTCACATCAACGCAGCTAACCAACAAGCTATGGAGATCCCCATCAATCGATATCAATGCGAGGAGTAGGGATTGCCATGCAACGAATGCACTAAGAGCTATAAGTATATGAAAGCTCAATATGAAAACTAAGTGGGTGTGCATCTAATCCTATAATGAAAAGTTCCCACTAGTATATGAATGTGACAACATAGGAGACTCTCCATATGAAGAACATGGTGCTACTTTGAAGCACAAGTGTGGTAAAGGATACTAACAATGCCCCTTCTCTCTTTATTTCTTTTTTCTCTTTTCT